CTTTCTTTCTTTCTTTCTTTCTTTCTTTCTTTCTTTCTTTTGTTATTTTAGGTATTCCACTAAGATGTCATTATTTATGTTACAACGTCTAGATAGGATGGCTTTTTTATTCTATTGACAAACCTGTCACTTAGAGAAGAACATCATGTCACTACTGTTTTCCATGGCTAGGGATAGCAGTGACTGTATTAAATACAATATTGCCATTTAGGTACTGGATGGTGCTCGTTTTCTGCTTGTGTGGAGGTCACAATGTCCCACACTATCTGTTTCCATTACTTTGTTGGGAGAGAAGAGGAATCCCAGAGCAGGAGCACTTTCCACTGAAGAAGAGTGCTGCACGAAYGTTTCTCTCTCTGATATTTCTAGCCCTACAAAGACCATGATGAATTTTTGACCTGACTTAAGCAACAGCGTGCCTAAGGAGTGGCTTGCATCAGAAGCTCGATCAATATTTGTTTGAGGCATTTTATTCCAGACAAGCAAGTTTTTGGAGGTGGTGAGCAACAGTGGGACCAGGTAGATGGCAAGAGTTAAATCCTACCAAGGGCTGTGGCTGCAAAATGCAGCACCAGGAGAAGTTCAGGCACCTCAAGAAGGAACATCTGCACAGGGGCTTTTTGAATCTCCATTTTGGCTTGAGACAGCTGAATCCCATCAAAATGCAAATCTGGATGCTGAATCCACCTGCTATAATACAAATTACAGCTCAGGAGCCTCTGAGAAAAAAAATCCTAGTCACGTCTTATTTATATAGCTTAAGCATTGCTGAAAATCTGGCCACACAGATTGACCTGCACGAAGTTGCAACTTCCAGCCCATCACCAAAGAGCAGGAAGCAGACTCGTCAACAAGATTTTTCACCTTCTTTCTCCCTATTGCCTTCTCTCTCTGACACTTTACCAGGCTGCAGGAAATAACAAGCAGCTGAGTACAGATATAAACCCAAGAGATGGGCTTGGGTTTATATGGAATGAGAGAATGGAAGAGGCTGTGTGTGGCCTGTAGCTTGGAAGCAGATGCCAAAATCAGTAAGRACAGCGTGGGAACAGGTTTTTTTCAGTGGGAGTAAGTATCAAAAAATGAAGCTCTTCGCAAAATGAGGCTTTCCCCTAAGTGCCCATATACCTGGGTGAATTTTGTCCAGGGTTTGTCAAGGCCTTGAGTGCACCCATCAAACTGCTCCACTTTGGTACAAGGCACATTTTCCCCAGTAGCAATATGAGGCCAGTGTACAACTACTGATCCCTTGAAGGCAGAAGGAACTGTGAAATCCCCTTGGACATTCTCCCTTTGTAGCAATTGCATGGATGGATTTGAGTGATGTTTAAGGGCTAAAGGGAAATTAACACAAAATCACAGCTGTACTGCTTAAGACATGTAGGGATAGAAAGGACGTGGTTAAATTAATAGGGGTGTTCTGTTGTTCAGATCTGGGAACAAGGAACACAAGCCAGGTCTGGGAAGTGAATGTTAAAGCAGCAGTAAAATGGGCAACATTAAAAGTATAAAAGGACTATTATAAACTCCTGATTTAGCTTTCTTAATAAAAACTGAAAGCTGGCATTGCTTTCAGTAAGGACTACTGAAAGTGTGACTGTGTTAGTACAGGTGGGGCCAGCAAGAGGGAAAGGAAGAGAAAACAGGGCATCAGGAGAATGTGTTTTTACTGTCTGATTTTAGGTTTTATTAGCAACATTTGTAATGAAAAAGGGGTAACTGAATTACCTGGCAGTAGGGAGAAAAAAAGAAGGAAACTGTCTTGTTAACATGCTCCCTTTTCCACATTTGACTTCATATGCTGTGGTTGTCCCATGGGCTTTAGGCCCCAGGGATCAGTCAAGRCAGAAGTCAAACTACAGAGAAGTCGGAAGAGTTTTCCCTTTTATCTCTGGGCTAGCTACAAATCGAGGTCATTTGACTTGTGTTAAAGCTCTTTTACTGTACATTGAGGGAAATCAAATGAGCTATAGGCTAAAAGCAAGCAGTTCTAACTCCATTAACAAACTGAGGTCCTCTGGAGGGTTCCCATTCTTTGTCACCATTGCTGATGTTAGGGCTCTACCCTTATCTGTGCCTTAGTTGTCTGCTGAAGTCCCTTAGTTGTCTGCTGAACTAAGGTGGTGCAAATCTAAGGGCACTGTGGGACAAGGCCTGACCTCTTGGGATGGATGTGAGTGGTCTGCGTCATTGTGGCTTCTATCCATAGTCAGAGCCCCTCCTTGCAAGGTTTCAATGCAAGGACATGTTTCACCAGTTAGAAATTCAAAATACTGAAGTCCTGCCTCTAGTCACTGTCTTGGATCAGGACTTTGTTATTAGCTCTGTACCAAGAGAACTCTATGCTATCTGATCTTTTCTCACGCAACAATATTGAATTAACTGATTATTTTTCCCCTGAAGAACAACATCTTCTTCCCACTGGTCTTTCTCGTTTAACCCTTAAGTATGTCATTTAAAAAATAGACTAGAATTAAAATGACCCTGATCAACTGTTCACTTCAATTTTAGTTACTCTTATAAAGACCTTTAATGATAGACACTGTTTTTCAGGTTTGTCACGTGCTATGCTACTATTGATTAACTTAATGTGGATCTTTCTTTCTCAAAAAGAAGCAGGTTAGATCTGCTTGTGACTGATCAAAACGTGGTTTATTCCTGCCATCTTTAATTGACAGCAATTGGGGTAAAATAGTCAATTAATGTAGAGACTATTTCATGCCCATTTTGCATAGGTAATGGGTTTATATTGACCTAAGTCTRCAGTAAGGCAGATTAGGATTCTGCTTCCTCGGTGAATGCTGCAATATATTGTCTACATATATTTGTATATTTACAGGACAGAGCTTCATGAAAAAATCGTGAGAAAATCTTCATCGAAATGGTATGATTTGATGATACAAAGAATTAGGTAGGTGGCACTGAGAGCCCACACTCCCGTACAAAGAATGTTCAGCATCTTGCAGGATTTATCCCTAAGTGTTCACATTTTTAATGACCAGCTCATCCAAATAAGAAGCAAGGCACTTTTCAAACTTTGATCCAAATGTAAATTGGCTGCTGGTCAATTAAACAGAAATTAGATCATCACTCACTAGGCCAAAGGCATCAACAATTTGTTGATGTGTTTCTCAATAGCAATTTCTAGAAGTCCTTCTGCAGCTGTAATCAGAGAAAGAAACAGGTTCTTTATTTTTTTCAGCTTGTAGCTCTGTTGCTTTTGCGTCCAAGAAAAGCAGCTGTGGCAGCTTTCTGGCATATTGCAGCTCTGGAGATTGTGGCCTCTCACACGGCACGTCATGAGTGAAAGGAATCTAGTGGCAACTTTGCAAACTGGTGCTGCATCCCTGACTGGAGCAGGATCTGATGCTTCCAAGGCTGGGAGGAAGACTTGGTTTTAATGAGCTGGACAAAAAAGAATCTCACTCACTGTGAGTCACAGTATGAGGCTAAGAGTGGAAAATTCTGTGGATTTAGCTTGTGGAGATGGAATAAGCTTGGTAAGATATTATAGGACCTCCTAATCACTCCTTGCATTTTAGCAGAAGACATTGTGGACAGAAGGGAAGGACCAGCCTCTCAGGTCTCAGTGAGAGACTACAGTAGTAAATACAGTACTTATTCCCTGAGGAGAATAGCATGTTCAGGAATCCTTTGTAAAAGGCAGGAAAAGCAGCCGTCTGATCCTGTGTCTTACAGGTCTCTGATTTTTACTATGCATCATGTTCTCTGTATTTTCATTTCTATTTTATTTCAGATAATTATAATTGTCTGGTATTCCCACAAGAACAAAGCTGCAAAGATGTACTTTCATCTCTTTTTGAGGACTTCATGTAGTTTTAAGAATAAGGACACCTCCCTTAACTAGATCAGGTGTTTATCTCAAAACAAAAATATATCCACAACTGCAACAGAATATAAGAGTGTCTCAGCTCAAAAGGTGTCTGAAGTTTCCTGTCAAAGATTAAAGGGCTGTGCAATAGGTGTGAATCTACGTACAGTTTCTGCACTCTGCTGCTTCACTAATGCTGTGGGCATAGCTGTAATAAAAGTAAGGATTCCCTTTTGATTGTTAACCTAGTTTGTACATCCGTTACTCCATGTACCCTCTGCTTTGGTCTGAAATGATAAGGAATATAGTCACGAAGCTAACACCAGAGGTTTGTTAAAAGGGACCATCTGCAGAGGCATCCCTTTCCAATGACCTTAAAATTGTCATGAAGATTCAGGAACCATATACTGTATTTCACCATATTTCCAAAAAATTTCTAGCTGGTTTGAGTCATGCACTAAGCTAAAGGCAAAGGTTAAGGCAAGAAAGTTCAGCACCATCTTTTGGAWCATTTTGGACTCAAGGATGAGAGAGAAAAAGGATGGAGAAAGACAGACCAATAATTTAACRTATGCATTGGAGGCTGGCAAAGGTGCCAAAGTAGAAGTGATGGTAAGACTAAAGGCAACTAGCTGGGCAAGGAGGCAGAATTGGGAGACTTGGAAGGAATCATGGATGTGAGAATGGAAAGGTGTTGCATCAGTGACATTATTAAGGCCAGAGGAGATGAGAATGCAGCGTGCGTCAAGGAACCAGAATGAGACATTGCACAAGTGCTGGCAAGGGGACCCTGCATCTGACTAACACAGAGGCAAGAAAGAAGATATGAGACTGGAGTGGAATGGGAAACCTGAGCAACTGGCCAGCTCGGTGAGGGAAGCRCAGTGCTCCTGGCACAGGAGGACACTGCAGAGAGGCTGCAGGAGACCCAGCAAAGGGGTCGAGAAGGGGGGAGGAAGAGGAAAGTATGTTCAGAGCCCCAGCTTGAGTCTCACTGTTCCTCTTTCAGCAGGTAACTATGAAAACTGGCAAATAGTCTAGTGCTGGTCTCTCAGGAGGTTGACAGCTCAGTACTACTATCAGTTACTCCATTAGCTCACTTACTAGAGGTCTAAAGGTCCAGCTCTGCTGATGACCCATAAGAGTGTCAGTGTGATGCTATGTGATGGAGTTTGTTTTTCCATGTGCTCTCCTGAAAATCCTAGGAAATTACTCTCACAAAAATATATTAAAAAGACATTATATAATATAGCAGAGTTAATCTGGGTATAAGCTAGGGAATGCCAGAAGTGCCACAACCAGCCAAATGTTACTCCTCTGGGGTATAGCAGTCCCCACTAATAAAGTATCACAACCAAAATTATAATAGAAAAGCAAACAGAATTTTTTGGGGTCAGTCATGCTGTGCTCTCTTTGAAAATGACTGTATGGTAAGGCGAGATTTTAAAAGTTCCAAACAGAAGCAATTAAGTTGGTGAAAGAAAATATGGCTATTTGCAAATCTGCCTTCTCCTCCTTCACTCTCCAATGCAAGAGTGCTCCTAAGGGACCAGTTAATTTCCTCATGTGTATGTACTGTTCTTTAGGTCACAGTACAGCAGACTGAGACACAGAAGTTCAAGCCAAAATTGTTTAGCAATTAAGAAAGTGTTGCAAGGTGAAGTTGTGAGGGGAAATAATAAAAAAGGAGGTCTTTAGTATCGTAATTCTTTTTTTTTTCCTAACTTCAGTGGGTCTGAAGCATATGTTTCAACCTAAAGTACATGCTTAAGAAATATGTTTTTGAATTAGGCCAGACTTAGGTGTTTAAGAGAATTCATGAATGAGGGGCAAAGGTACATATGTTACACATCATATAATCTTCGGTTTAAAGGTCTCTTGTTATCAGAGAATAAAACCAATAGAAATCACATTAGTCAAATACATTAGGACTAAACTCTGAAAATGGACGGGGGTAATTCAATAAGCGTCATGACAAGCATCTCACTATTAATGAGGTCCCTGCCTTACAGTCAGAAATTACATTCTGGGGGCCACGGAGGCATCAATACGGATCGAGTGACTTTTCCACGGTCAMAGTGAACACTTTGAACTGAACTAGGGTCTCCTGAATACGAGACCGACCTTCACACCCCACGCAGTGGTGTGTAAGCCCCTCCAYGCCCACTAAAAATAAACTAAGTGCATCTTAAATGGCAAGCTTTTAAGAAYTGTATTTTCTCAACAACCAGCCACGGAATACAGAACAAAGCCGAGCCCAAGTGTTAATTGCTCCAGCCCCRTAATTAAATGCAGACATACTGTACTCTATCTGTGCTTCTTGAAAGCTTGCCTACTCTTTTTTTTTTTTTCCCTCAGTCCCATAAAAAAGAAMACCATCAGTTTTTTGTTCGAGTAAAAGCAGTTTGGAATAGCTGATATGACAATAGGTCATTGGCATAATTATGGTAAGAAAATGTCTCCATGCACTAACCACAAGTGAAAAAAGGGCAGCAGTTAAGCCACTGCAAGCCGTTCTCCTTACTAACATCCAGCACCCTGCAGAAAGCAGGGAATGCACACGTGTTTATTTAGTGGYTCTGTCAGAGCATGGCCGTGGGATTAGAATTTGAGTGTGACTGTCTGGATGAGCCTATGGTCTTAGTTGGACTGATACAAGCCTGTCTGGCCCAGAAGTCATCCAGTGGCATCAGCACATGACTGCGACCTCCCTCGTGTGCATTGCTTCTTTGCTGACGTCTTCATAGTCCAAAGGCTTCTCTACTGGTAGTCAGATCAGAGTGTTTGCAATGGGAGTCAATGTCATTTTTCCTCCATTGCTCTCCTATGGTTTGAGCCACGGTGGTTAGGTTTCACCTGACCCACAGCACGTGGGTCTCGCCATCCCTCTCCAAACCTTGCCTTCGCTGTTTGCTTTATTTATGACCTAAATACAAACTGAATATTTATGATTTAGATGTGCCAAGATAAAGACTTTATTACCCATTAAGAATCAAGTGCTGATTTAATAGAAAAAAAAAAAGAGAAATCCTTTCCAAAAATTAAATCAATGCATTTTAGGTTCTTCTTAACYGCCTTCAGGGCTTGGACCCCTAGGCTACCATCTGCTTATGTTTTATTTGCAGACATAGACATTTACTTACACCAAAAAAAAAAAAAAAGATCCAAAATTCTGAGATTTTTTAGGATCACTTGTGRATTCTTAAGCCAAACACCAAATGTAATAACATGCAGTAAAATAAAGGATAGGGGTAATAACTTTCATTCTTTTTAGAAGGTGTGCGAAATTTGGGGTTTGGTCTCATGACCACCTGTAAGTCTGTAAATTCCACTCATATGAGTGTGGCTGCCCTTACCTGGGGCTTCCCTAAGCCGCACACCTGGATCACACAGCCGGGCACTTGTACTTTGGCCGTGCACTGAACTGAAACACCCGTTGCCCGAGGCTCAGAGTCCACCTGCTTTCCTCCTGGGCACCACCTACTCCATGGGCATCTCCCATCTGCCTCCAGATTCCCATGCAAAGAGGCATTAAAATCATTGCTTCACTTACATCCTCTGCTAAACGGACTTTGTACAACACTGGTTTCTGCCACGCCGCAGCAGTGCTGGCTTGTGATTTGAAAAGTGTTTTATGGTCCTAAAGAGCGAAATAAAGTATTAAGTGAGCGGTAAAGACCTAAGCCTGAATAGTGCTATTAAGCTGTGTAACTCTAGTGACTAAGACAAGCCTGAGTAATACTCCCGTGGGACTGAGAAGTCTTGTGGGAGAGGACAAAGAAGATCTAGATATGGTGAGGAGAATGCTCTGTAGATGCCACCATGCTGGGTGGTGTCGGGACTTTTGTCTGCAACACAGACTTAGCCTGCCGTTGTTCCTCCATCCTCAGGTATCCTTCACCCATGGACCACTGTGCTATGTATCAATATCCACAGAAAAGCTCTGCAGTCTTTGAACTCTACTTTGCATTTCCTAAGCATCTGTAAATCTCATCTGATGATTCACTGATTATCCTGGTATACCTATGTTTTTCTTTAGTGTCCAAATATAACAGAGCTAGTGAATTAATCATTTTTTTTCCTCAAATATCAGCACTATATCCTACTGTCACATTTGAATTTTGCCTTAGATATTTCCTTATAAATAAGACACTAAATCAGAGGAGGTTGTGGGTGTTTTAGGGATTCTCTGACATACTTCAAACTTCTTCATGGAAAGAAGTAATTTGTGTCTCTCTGAATTTATCCTACAGTTTCACACAGGAAAAATCATTCTTCTGAAGCTGCTTAAATACAATGCACTTCTTAAAAGGCTGCGGCGTGTTCGCCCAAGGGGCAATAGCTCACTTCACACAGGTAAAATATCCTTGCAAAGTGTCTAAAGATCCTTATTAATAACAGTAAATAATTCCTATTAGTTCTATAACCAAACTGTTTTAAGCCCATGGGAAAGCAGGGAGCGAGCTGACTTCTTCAGTGAGAACTGCAGCCATTATTTTGGCAGCATTGAACCTAGATTTATGGTATTCCATTAAGAAGGAATGCATTAGCTCTACAACTGTCACCACTGCATTGATGTCAAAGGAAGTGCTCTGCCTGGCTTTGCTGACTTGATTGATGGAAAATAGTATATCAGCCTAGTTGCTCTCTCTCTGATGAGAAGGGCAAGCATCCTGGATCCCTGAAGCTATAGCAGTAGCAAAGCTCCCCCTTTTTTTTTTCTTTTATTTTTTCTTTTGGCTAATTTTCCTGCATTTTTCTGGTCCTGACTATGGAAAAGGA